GGAACAGCTCCTAGTGTTATTGGCGACTTACGAGACTTTATGGAGACCAAGAAATACTCTACTGCCTACTTACGCCGCTCTGATTAAAGCGTTCGAAGACACGAGAAGGAAGGAGGCTGGGCTTCCGGAACTTCGCCGCAGCGCGTGCCTGGAAGAAGCTAACGCCGCTGTGGACGAAGATGAACTACTCTTCTAAAGAGTAGTGGAGTGGAATTGGTCTTTCGAGTCACGGTGGACTCTAAAGTCAGTCTTGATGGGGAGTGTGCAGTGAAACACTTCCTACTTTTACTTTGCATATTTCTGGATATTACGAAACGGTTTCAAGCCTCATGCATCACGAAGAGAGACCAACAAGTCATCGGAAGCGAAATGAACTCTACAAGGGGCTTGTTGAAAGAAAAACAAAACGAAAAATTAGTTATGAAACGACACTACTTCTCCTACACGCTTCTAATTGGGACGGTCTGGATCACTGCGGGTGTGGGAAAGGAACGCTGGACAGCGTGACTACGCTGACTTCTTCGACGGTGGCGACTTGGACGACGAGCGGTCCGGAGACACTGTAGCCTTCTTAGGCGAAGGTGAATTCGACTCGGCACGCTCCTCGGGACTCTCGGAAGCCTTCTTGGTGGCCGACGGAGCTTCCGCTGCTTGATTGTCTGGCGACTCTTCGGGCTTCTTCGTCTCAGGTGGCGAAGAGAGCGAACGGTGTGGGGAACGCTTCGGAGACGGAACTTTCTTTGTCTCTTTCGCGAATGGCGAACGCGAAGCTGAACGCCGACGCGAGACTCGCGAAGCTCCCCTCTTGGACGACGACCCCGCCGGAGATGCCGAACGCCTGGACGAATGCGTGCGTCGAGTTGTTTTTGGCGGGCGAGGCCGAACGCGACCGTGACTTGGAGCGCTTCGAAGAAGCTGTCTCCGCCGCCCCCTTTTCCTTAGAAGGAGGAGACTTAGACGCCGAACGCTGTCGAGTGGCCTGCGCCGAATCCCGCTTGGTCGACGACTTGGACTGCGACGCCGGGCGCTTAGGAGAAAGCGTACGTCTCGACTTCTTCTTCTCCGGAGACGCCGATCGTGACCGAGACTGTGACGGATGGCGAAGACGCTTGGGCGACAGTGTGCGTCGGGACTTCTTCTTTACTGGAGTAGGCGAACGCGATCGCTCCGAATACGAGATGCTAGCCTTGCGCTTGCCGCTTGCGCGCTTGGGGAAAGGAGGTCGCTCGGGCGTAAGTGAACGCTCGCGCGACCGCGAGCGACTCTTCCGCTTGTACGAACGCCGTGGTGAACGAGAGCGTGACGTGGAACGCTTGGCCGACTTCTTCGTCTTAGGAGGAGGAGAACGTGACAAGTGCAGACGCTTGACGGGACGCTTGCCACCGGCCCCACTCTCGTCCGAACTGGATTCGTAGCCCCGTGCGTCTTTGCCGTCAACTCCGTCGGGTCCGTCGTTTTCGTTCTCGAACTCTTCTTCCTCCGATTCAGCGTCTTCTTCCTCGACCCCTGCCCAAGACGCGGTGAAGGCTCCGTTGGTACGCTCAAACGATGCGTACCCGTCCTGATCGGCTTCAGAGGAATCAAAGGGAGCGATCCTAGGTGCCTTGAGCGTCCCATCGCGGAGTTCGCGGGCTATCTTGATCTCCAACTTCTTGAGGCGTGGGCAGTGAGTAAGAGCGTGCCACACTCCGTCCGAGAGATCTCCAACCCAATGAGAAGCGTGCTTGGTCTTGGACTTGACGTCGTGAAGTACCCGAGCCAAGGCGCGATCCGAGAGCTGACTGTCTGCCTTCGCGCTGTTCGGATCCAGGGCGCCGGTGTGGAATAAGAGCTCCGTCATAGTAGCAAAGCCGCCCTCGTCGATGCTGAAAGGCTTCAGAGCGCCCCGGATGCGTCGAACGTAAACTTCTTGGTCGTGCTGATATAGGCGGGTCAAACTGTCGATCACGGGGCCCCGGTACGACTTGGCATCAGGAGTGTTCCGGCCTGGTTGCCCGCCCATCCACATTAAACGGCGCCGGCTCGTGCACCCCTCGAACAGTTCAAGAAAGCCGTAGTAACCCCACGTTTCAATGCAGATACTAAGGAAGCGCACGCGGGCCACGAGAGCCAACGTCTTAGCCTTACGGCGCGCGCTGGAGTTCTTGAGAGGCGCATTGAGCTGCCAGTCCCAGAAGCGGGCGCGGTTCCTGTTCCAGAAGTGCCAATGCGCTACGTGAACTAGGGGAAAATCGAAGGGACTGTACCAGAGGACGGACCCTTTCCACGGGAAAGTCAACATGAACGGCTCCAGCCCGAGCGACTCGGCCTCTTGATAGATCTTCTCGAGATCGTGGCGCACCCGCGGGGGAGTCCTGTCGGCGAGTTCGAACGGTAAGTCGAAGGAAGGAGGAGACCGGTCCTTGTGCCCCTGCGAAGACGTGCCTTGAGAGCCCTGCGTCTTCTTCTTTCCCGAGCCCGGGCTAGCGTTCTGTTGCGCAGGAGCGTGACGCTAGCGAAGCGGCGATCCTGTGGTGGTTTTCCGCGGGCGTGCTGTCGCGAGGGCGAAGGCAGGATCATAACGGGACCAGTCAAGGCTTCGCTGGCCTTACCGCTGCCCTGGATGATGGCCGCCGCTATCTCGTCCAGTATCCCCATCCCCACCGTTCCTTCGTTGATGGCGAGCACGTCGCGCATCGCCAGCCAGAAACAGACATCGGCGGCGGAGTCCTGCGGTCGAGGCGATCCTTCAGACGAGTCGGAGGAATCCTCCTCGACGACCTCACGGAGTTTCTTGTAGCGACCCTTATCGCCGGAGCCGCCCATGCCGCTGGTGCTGGGAGAAGAGTCGTCGGCTGCTGGCGTCTGCGTCGCGTGAAGGAAAATTACCGAATGAGACGGAAAATTGGCAGACTGGTTGCCGCCTCCGTCTCTCTGGCGTTTCTCGAGAACCCCGCCGTTAGTTGTCGACTGCCCTCTCCCAGATGTCGACTGTGACCGATTGATGGGCAATGACCACGCAGTTGGAGGAACGGTACGCGGCGGAGTCGGACGTGTCTTCTTCTTATTTGTGAAAGTTCATCACAAGGAATGGGGGCTCAAGTAAGCCTCGTCCTGGAATACGCGCGGTGGGAGCTATGGCCGGTATACACCAGCGTGATCATCGTGTGGGTGTTGACGACTCCCATTAGGAGCGTCGGGTGGGTGTTCCTGACGCAGGTTTGGCGCGTTCTATCCATGAACCTCGAAATCTGTGGAGAGTGTGCCTCTTCTTACCGACACACTCTGCAAGACCGTGAATTCCGCCAGCTACGCGGTTCGGTGTACGCTTTCGCGGCGTGGAGCGTTTTTTTTAACGCACCTACCTGGGTCCTTCGGGACGGTGATGCGAGATATGGTGCTTATGGGAGGATGCTCCGCAGTTGGTGGATAGCTTGCAAGGTCACCTTCGCCGAGTACCTACCTAACGTGCTCGTGGACACTAAGGACTCCGCGAAGCGTTACTGGAACGCTTCATGGGAAGCCAGCCGGGCTACTCTACTTCGTTGTTATGGCGTTGGCGAGCTCGTCTGCTGGGTCGCATTGCTGTGCCTGTCGTTGCTGCTGTTCGTGCCTATTAACCTCTACGACCTAGTGGAGTTCGTTCTACAAGGACCTATCGGTGTCGCCATCGGACTTATGCTGCTAGTGACGTACGACTACTGCTACGAATGGACTCGCTGGGATCTGCTAGGACCTCTTATCGTAGTGACCGGTGTGATTTCGCACGCACTGCGTCTGTGCGAAGGGGATAACCCGCTGCTTTCGATGGCTCCCCAGAGTGTGGTCGGTCAAGCTTTGGCTAACCAAAACTCAACTGAACGCTTCGAAGCGTAGGCGTGCCGAGGCTCTCTGCTTGGAACGCTTGCGGTACAAGGACGGTATCGAAGTGTTACACGACTTCCAAGCGGCGGAAGAAGATGATCCTGCTACGGAAGCGTTCCTGGGTAACTCCTATGGAACCGAGCAACCGCTGGACCATCCTATCGACCTTTCGGGTGCGCCAGAAACAATGGCTCGCCTGCGCCGCCAGCATTGGCCATCCGTTCGCCGAGGACGGCAAACTCCAAGTCGGGGAGTATGTCTTGTACCCGGGAATGTAGGCGTCGTGCCAGGCGCTGGCGGGCAGGCTTGTGTCGAGGAATCTCGGCGAAGGTCGACGAGCTGCGACGGCGGGCGGCTGGTTCCCGTTGACCCCGCAAGCTCCCACTCACTTCGCACATGAGACCGGTGAAGTTATGGTGTGATTGTATTGGAACGCTACGATGGAGTAAAGGAACGGTGTGTGAGCTCCCTCCTATCGTCTTACGTGGCTGGGGACAAGGCCGTATGCGCAAGGTGGACCGCGTCTCGGACCTTCCTGTCGCCGCACGAGGGCGGATGTCATGGAGAAGGACTCTTTTGATCAAGATAAACTGAAGCGGTGTCGTGTATAGGAAAGCGAGTTGGCGGTAGGCCCTCGTTCATTAGTCTCAGTCTTACATTTACTACCTCTTGCCTAAGCTGAGTGAGGGAAAGAAACAAGAAGCTTTTTGGTATATTAAGTTATCTTGTGCTACCGCTCCTGCCACTACTCGAGACCGTACTCCCTGAACAGCCGCGGACTACCCGACCCTGGAGGTAGTGTACGATACCGCGAGCGATTTGTTGGTCTAGATCGCAATCACACGTGCTCTAGAGTGGGCAGTTGTCGCCTCGTTTAATGCATTGCTCTACTTTCCACCGACTAGCAAATCTGAGGCGTAATATGGCTACGTGATATAGTTATCCTTTTGAGCGATCTTTTTTTGGGTACATCATTTAGCCCTATATCAAAATTTGGGTACCTTAACTCGGGTATTTTTTCCTCTTTATGCTGGCGTAAAGATAGCTCTATCTGACGTACGAAACATGAAACGGAAGAAAACCGAGAGCGATCTACAGAAAAAAAATACGTGGAGGGGGCAAGCAGTTCGTTTCACCTCACACTGGAATCTGACGAGATGGCGCAGGATATGCTGACGGAGCTCTACGCATGGGATTCGGAGATCGAGGACGTCCCAACGCTTGCTGCTGATGACACCAAGCGTGATGAGGACAAGGCCCAAGACGCCTATGAACAAATTGTCCACGCGGCGACTGGAGCCGATGCTAGCGACGTGGTGCTCAGTCTGGCGGCGCAACTTTTGCACAAACACTTCTTTCGCTTCCCGCGCGTTCAGGTGAATGTCGTGGACGTGCTACTCAAACTCTGCGGACCCAAACGCTCGCAGGCTGTGCGTATCCACACACTGCGCGCGCTACTGCAGATCGTCAAGGCACCGTCTCCGCCCAGATCCGCCATCGCCAGCGCGCGCAAGTGGATGCAACGCATCGATGATTCCGTGCGACACATGCTGGAGAGCGAAAAGTCATCGGTCATCCTTCGCCAGGTGACACCGCTGAGTCAAGCGCTTGAGGAGCGACTACAGCCCGAATTCGAATTGACCAAGAGTACTCACACTACTGCCCGCGACCTGGATAGCATCGTCCAGGGCTTGTCACCCTCAGAACGCAATTGCAAGAAGCCGCGCGACGAGGAGGACGTGATTGGAGGAGAGGACGGCTGTGCGCCACCCGAGCGTGAGCCGAAGAAAGCCAAACACGACGATGGCGCCAAGGAAGGGAAGATTGTGCAGCTGAATCGCGACTTTAGTAATGGCGGCACACCGCGTGGCAACGACGACTCTTCCCTGTGGAAGAAACCATTATCTAGTAGCCGCACCGTCGAGAGCGAAGGCAGACGACAGAAGGTCAGCGCCTTTTCTCCACGCAACTGTCCGCCTTGTCCCTACCTGTTTCTGGGCAGCGTTCCCCGTCACACGCCCAGTGCAGAGATTGTGGAGTTTTTATCGCCTGTGTGGCCGGAAATTGACATTATGAGTGTACAGCTCAAGCAGCCCGACTACAACGCCACAGCCTACGCGTTTGTGAGTATGCCCACAATTGAGCACGCGCGTGAAGCCATCCACTATGTGCATGCCAACAAATTCCGAGGTCGCGCCTTCTTGAACGCCAACTTTGCACGTGGCCCCCCAGTGGACACAGTGCTGTTTGTAGAGCGAACTGGAGAAGATGTGAACATGGAAGACAAGGATGCTGTGCGTCAGTTTGATTTTAACAAGTGTGATCCGGAAGTGTGGGATGCCATGTGCGAGCAACTGGAGCGCTTTGGACCATTGTCGTTCGCCGAGATGGGCTGTGTACGCTTCCGCAGTGTGGAACACGCCAAGGCGGTGATTCGAAAGCAGCTTTTCACTGTGAAAGAATACGAGATCTTTCCTGTTTATGATACGAAGGAGCAATTTACGATTGATTCGACACGCCGTGGATCCAATGTACATAGTAAGCAAGGGTTTGCTCTCAAGTCTGGACGTCTCGGTAAGATTTGTGCCGTGCAGTTTGAATTTATCGTCGTTCTTTTGTATCGACGTGTGATAATGTTGCTGACTTTAATCCCGTCATTAATGGTGTAGTGGGAGGAGACGCAGATTATCGCAGCTGCAAGAACCACCACCACAGAGAAGGGGACGAATCCGTGGACGGCTTTAATGGACACCGTCCACATGATCAAGCGACGTCATCAAAGTATGGAGAGCGTCGCAGTTGTGGTCCTCCGCGGAGCGATCGCGGAAGTGCCCGTGGACGATCTCGTTCCCGGTCACCCAAACCTCACAACGGTGGTGCACATTATGATGTATCGATGCCTGGACCTTCGAAGGAACGTCGTGCACCTCGCTCGCGTTCCAGGTCCCCTGTGACGTTGTCGAAGCATGTTGCTCGTGAAGGTGGATATGGCACACTGTCAGACAAGGAGAATTGCCGTGAGTACCGAAGTAAAGTTGGTCGTCGGTCGCCGTCTTTAATGGATGTTCGAAGTCGTGAGAGTCCTGTTCTTGTTGAAGAATCACGTGGACGACCTCGTAGACGTGACGGTCCATGGATGGAGTCGCGTTCAGTTGAAGACTCTCGAGAGCGTCGTGAACTGCGAGGCGAGGGCCGAATCCGCAGAAGCTTTCATCGTGGAGGATCTTCGTCTCTGTCCTCCTCGTCAAGACGTAGTCGCAAAGATGATGAGCGTTCATGTGATTACCGACGTCAAGGACCTATTGAAGATGGCCGACAATCCTACCGACGTGATGAAATGATGCAGGATGAACGAAGTAGGATGCCACCTGCTCCACCTGGTGGTGTACTGCAGGTGCCACGCAGAAGTAGTCGTAGCGCACCGCGATTTGGAAAGTATGTGGGATCGTCCTCAAAAAGTCGACCTCGATCTCGTTCGCGATCGCCTTATGATGATGTGGGATTGAGAAGCAGTGCGGACCAACGCTCTGGTGGCTATCGTGGGCGTGAGGATCGTTTGCAGGTCTCTGATGAACGTCCCTCGTTCCAGTCGGAGCGTCCGCGCTATGCCGATGACCGTTCCATTGCCGAAGTTGCTCGTGACGAGCAGCAGGAACGCCAACGCTTTTTTCAGCAGCAGAGCCAGGGTCGTCGTGACTGCCATGATGGTGATATAAGTCGCTACGGGTCGGGTCGTGGGGGTGGACGTGGTGGAGGTCGCGGTCGTGGTGATAGATACCCCACGCAGCAGCCTTACAGAAGTGGAAAAGGTGGCGGAATGTATCGCCAGGATCTGGACCGCTCTCGTTCCCCGCTCCCGGAGCGTCGCCGCTCACCTTCTCCGCAGCAGCATCGCGAATCTTACCGTGGACGTCGTGAAGAATTTGCGCTGCGTAGCGGAGAGGCTGGATACCGCTATTCACCCCCGCCATTGCCGATGCTCGAGAATTCTTTTGAAGTTGGACCTGTGAATCGCCACGAGCTTGAACCAGGGACTGGTGATCGTGAATCTAGTCGTCATGAGCGACACCACCACTCGCACCGTGACCAAAGTCGAGATGACAAAGGCCACAGCAGTCACCGTGATTACCACGAAAAGCGTTCTTCTCGCCCTGAGCGATCGGTGACTCCGTCGCCAGTTCGTCGTAAAGACGCGTCGGGTTCTAGTGGGAGGAACTCAAATGGACAGTCACCGCGTCGGTCTTTTAGTCGCCGTAATGAAGCCGACAACCAAGCAGATGAAGCTTCTGAGAAAGAGAAACAACCTCGATTTAAGAACGAGGATGAGTCGGAGCTCCAGCAGAAGGAGGTGAAGAATGGAGGTGCCCGCACGGCGCGTGATGAGCTGTTCGCGGGCATGGATGATTTGACCGTGGACTATGAAGAAGACGACGAGTAAGACCTGCATTTGTGAGATGACCACTGCCCCGAGGCAGGCATGACAGGAAAAAGTTGTGCCGTCGCTGGTTGGACATTTATGCATTGAGTTGTTTGGTCATGACTCGTATCTAAATTTGTGAGGAAGTGGCTGCAGTATGAAATTAGCACGAGACAAGCGCGTGCTTTTGAGATACTGACACGAAGGAGGACGCTTTAAGGAGGACGCTGTGTAATACGTTCGTATCTGCTCGATGCCTTGGCTTTGAGTTTGTTTTTACGTGGCACTTATCTTGAATCCACGACAAAAAGTACTGAACCAGTGGCAGAATCAGTCGTCTAAATGATGTCTCAAGTTGCTTGAGCAAATGGTGAATTTGAACTCGATTGGGATAACTTCACTCGTGAAACAGTCGACAAAGTAAAGTTTTATCGAGTCGACTGTGAAACAACTGTGCTGGACCTTTCCATGACGGTTTAGAGACGACCGCGACTGTCCCCCATCAAGTTATCTACATTTTGGCCAGCTTGTCGACGTAATTTATTTATTCTTTTTTATTAATCCCCTAATTAGCCAGCACGAACAAGGTTGGCTGGCGCGACAGACTGGGGTTGTACTAGTACACGCTGTGAATTTAGTTTCTTGCTTTTGACCTGGTGGTTAAGACACACGTACAGCCTTGCGAACGTAACTTTCTATTGTGGATGCACGAAAACTGCAGTGCAGCTCTAACAACGGAAGAGATGGATGGTGCGGTGACCAATGGCCACCTCAACGTTATACGTGGCTTCATGAGGCGTACGGCTTCCCGGCCAGCTCTCTCGTGGCAGTAAATAAAGACGTCGCTCGCGTCTACAACATGTACACGCGTCCGATGGCCTACATGTACTTCTACCACCGAGCTCCAATTACCTCAGCTCGGTAATGTGCATACTCCTGGACGGGTCGTTCCATACCCCGCGACCAATTTACTACTGTAGTATCATACATGTACTTCATGACTATTACTTCTTTTTGAAGTAATAGTGACAAGATTCTGATCCTGGCCTCTACAGCTATCTCCCCCCTACCGTCTTCCCCCGCACACTACGCCTAGGCGCTATAGCGTAGTCTTTAACATACGATAGAATTATTCGTTTTGAACGCCTAGGCGTTATGCGACGAAAATATTATGAATGTTTGAACAAATCAATCAGGGTCTACTTTGTTTAGTGGTGTAGGTTCGACCCTCCTATGCTACTGACCGAGGTTCGAGCCCGCCTTCGTGCAGTTCACAACATAAATGTGCGTATAGTAAGGGTCAGTTGTTTTCTTTCATTTGGGGACTGCATTAAAAATACGGAGGTTTGGAAGGGAGGGTAGAACGCACTCCTTTGAGGCGTTCCACTACCCCACCGTTCCACGTGGAACCAGCCATTGGAATTGACACGCCTCCATACGAAGGAATAGCAGCCATCGGCATTCGGCTAGGCGTCGAAACCGGCGTTTGCGTCCTCATTCTCGGGGTCATAGGTCCTTGGTACCCTCGTCCCTGGAACGTCGCAACAGGCATAGGAGACGTTCTCTGGAACGGCAATCCGTACGTTCCGCTTCTGGGGCTTGCAGGTGTCTGCCGCGCAGACGCAGCAGACCACGCGGGAATCGTTCCAGCTGCAGCCCATCCAGGTGTCGACGGCATTGGCGGTTGGAAGGGAGGGTAGAACGCACTCCTTTGAGGCGTTCCACTACCCCACCGTTCCACGTGGAACCAGCCATTGGAATTGACACGCCTCCATACGAAGGAATAGCAGCCATCGGCATTCGGCTAGGCGTCGAAACCGGCGTTTGCGTCCTCATTCTCGGGGTCATAGGTCCTTGGTACCCCATCATTGAAGACGTCACTGGTCGGGTCGGCGTCGGCACGGTACGTGGCACGTGGCACGTGTCCCGTAGCTTGAGGTCTTGGTGACGGCACAGGCGTTCCGTTTGTCATCCCAGCCTTCTGTAGCAATTGGGCGAGACCGTCCATGATGAGAGCCTGTAAGGCTGGGTCCGTCGTCGGCGTTCCACTTCCTCTCGTTGGCGTTCTCATCGATTGAACAGGCGTCGCTCCTCGATTTCCACCAGGTACGTACGCTCGCGTTGGTGTCCCAGCAGCATCGGGTGCATTCTCTGGGGCGCGACGTCTTCCTTGTTGGCCCGGTACGCTGTTGTTGGGTTGTCCGTACACAGACGTGACCATGGGCACGTCTCTTCCAGAGCTGTCCACTGGTAGTAACGAGGGTCGCGATCGATCCAAGGCGAACCCCACCTCGCGGCGACCTCCCGAGTCCATCACCGAAGCGTCCAAGAGCGTACCCGTTGTCGTCCTTGCAGGCGTCGTTCCCTCGCTGGGTGCCGGTTGGCGTGCCCACTGCTCAAGGCCTGTGCTAGACATCTGTCCACCCTGAGGTGTCCCAGACACAGACACAACCGTCCTTCTCGTTCCCGGAGACGGAGACGCAACTTCGAACATGTCCTCGCCCTTCCACGTGGACCGCTCGTGTCTCGTGCCTTCCCGTCTCGGGATCAGCTCGCTGCGGCGTGCCACGTTCCCCGCCATCTCCCTGGCGCTCCCTTCCTTGAAGTCTCTGCGGCGTGCCGCCGTCAGCAGCTCTCTCAGCGCGCACTTCCTCTTCCTCCTCGAGGATCTCCACGGGCTCCGTTTCCAACGGAGGAGCCCATCCCCCTACCCCTTCACTGGCTCCAAGTCCTTCGCCGGACCATCCATGAGCGCTCATCCTTTTCCCACTTCTTCCTTGACACTCCACTGCCAAGGCCTCTTCTCGCGCTTGAACTCCTAAGATATTCGGCTAGAAGATACCCTGCTTCTCCACCAAATTGTCGCGGTCTTCCTCTAATCGGGGTCGTGAGTATCTTGGGCCAACGTAGGAGGTAGTAGTATTAGCGATACTACTGGGATAGTAATGTAAAAGTTGATATATTCTTGTGTTGTTTGTTTGAAGGAAATCCACGACTGACTTCCTCATTTCACCTCGCTAGAAGTTTTCAGAGCTCCTTAACTTTCAGCAGACCCCTCGTGTGTCGCGGTCCAGCTCCAATTCCCGCCACGACCAGCTGCTTCGCGACCTCACACTTGGAACGTCACTGTCTTGGTTGCAGGTCCCGCCTGCTTGGACGTGGTCCGGAGAGTCTGGAGTGAGTTGACCTTCTGCAGGAAGTCAGCCAGCATCGTTAATCCACCATCTAACTGTACACCGTGACACATGTACAGGTGGATCAAGTGGGGATCCTATGAAGGAGGGATGGTAGGTGTCATCTGAAGGTGGATCTGGTATCTACAGCTAACGAGAAGGCAATATCCACCACGATATGTCCCAGATCCCATACTTCCGAGTCCGGATCCAAGGAGGTGAGGATCCTACACGAAGTGACCTGGATCCCGGATATGGGGATGGTGGATGCAGTGGATCTCGGACTTTTGTGGAGTGACGGAGACCGCAGATAGTCGTAAGACGATGTTGGCAGATTGGAGAGCTCAGATCCATGATGAGTGTACTCTTGCAGTGAAGTGGATCCAAGCGACCTGGATCCGGATGAGTGTACCCATAATATGGTGACCATAATGATTACGCCATGGATCCGGTGGATCTGAGGATAATACAGCTGGGATGATGGGTCAAGGAGAAAAAGGACATGCAGCCGAACCTGGTAGGGGGTTTAGCAGGTAAAAGACATAGAAGGTAGGAATCCAGGCAGGTATAAGCCTAACTTTGATACAGACTTCAATTTGCACACTATCACGCAAGTGCCTTCCTCCCCTCAAGAATCGGAAGTACATTGGCCGTACGAGCTCGTAGAAGGTTGGGAATTGCGAATCTAGTGCTGGTAGTGATAACTGGATAATACATTGGCCAGTTCCTACAGCCTAGTAAGCTTTCCGATACACGTGCAGATCCGACGGGTTAACCGAATTTACTACTTGGTCGGTTACACCCTAGAGGTTCTCAACTCTCAAGATCCCGTCACAGGAGGCAGCAAGTACGACACAAAGGAACTACAAAGGCAAGGGAACACATTCGCAAGACAACCCTACGGCCAGATCCACGATCTAGGCCCCGGATCCATAAGCTCGAATATTCGCTGGAGGCCCAGAAACAATTACGGACGCAGAGTGAAGATCTTACCACTACTGCTACACCCCATCCCCACGTTCCGCCAAGACACTCAAGCTTCACCACTGGAACGCTTCGGAAGTTACCGAGAGAGCAAGATCCCGCCCTACCGACGAGTACACAAGGTGAGGAAAGTTCAGCAGTGTTACGTAATTGCGCTGGTATTCTGGGCAGTAGCAGAAAGCCGAATAAACTCTCGTTACTTCCCTTATTACCTCGACCGCAACTACGGTTTCTTCTTGAGTATGCTTTTCTCTCAAAAGCAAAAGGCAAACTGTGGTTAGACCTCTTGCGTCCTTACAGCTAAACGTTCCGTTCTTGGTCTTCGATCACCTCTCTCCTTCTGGGACTGTACGTGCTGTGCATACTAAGTCGTACAGCTCACCCAATATCTTAACACGCCGCCCTCCGAGATAGCTCTCTCGGAACTAATCTTCATATCTCTTCACTCTGCTCCCACACAGCACTTCCCCACGATACTTCGCTCTTTTGGTCTCACGGCGAGTCTTGCTAATCTTCGGTGTCATGCCGATGATGAGCTTTGTCCTATCAAGCCGCGTCAACCCCATTGGTTTCGTCAGAAGATCCGCAGGGTATTCGTCTCCTTTCACATTCCATAGTAAAACATCTTTCTGGCGAGCCATATCTCTCACGTAGTGGAGGCGTAACTCAATACGACGTGTCTTTCTGCTGTACGTGGGGTGGGTTGCTAGTGAAATCGCTGCTTGGTTGTCAACTCCAAGTTTAAACATCAGAGTGCTCTTACCGACAACCTCCGACAAGATGTTCTTAATAGCAGCTCCTTCTTGACACGCCTCACAAGCCGCAGCATATTCTGCTTCTGCCGTGCTTAGTGCCACAATTGTTTGTCGTCGCGCAGCCCACGTCACCGGTCCTCCAGCCATCGTCATCACATATCCAGTAGCGCTTTTTCTCGTGTCCGGACAATTGCCCCAATCAGCATCAACGTATCCAACTTCTCTGCAGCTTCATTGTCTTGGTTCTTAAAGAACTCTGCATGGTCCGACGTTGCAACTAAGTA